AGCATCCATGATGGAGTCATTACATCTTTTGTGCGTAGCAAGAGAAACTATTGCACAACACCTGACACCACTCAATCATACTTGACAAACATTATTTGTAGGAGCTGTTCATCCCTGTTCTTCCACATCTAGAAAATTACAGGCTGAGTAGACTGGAGATGGAAAGGTTATTGCTGAGTGTTTCCCACTCAGTGCAAGTATTTGTAATTGAACTGCATACAATTTAGATTTCTACATAAAACTCAATCGGAACATGTATAATACTGTTAAAATGTGAGCTAAGCAAACGCCCTGGGTCCTTTTATTCAGTCTGGAGCCATATGAAGCCTGTATTTCCAATATATTACATCTGACAATACATAGGTTCATGATGATTACATTTCCAGCAACAGGAGGCTATTATAGCTTTTCAAAGACTTTTCACTGAGGTTATTCCCATTAGAGTTAATATGTATGTGCTGATAAATTCCAGTATAACAGCAGCAGGCCTGAGGAAAAAAAAACATTAAAAGTTAGGAATAACACAAACCAATGGTAAATGTAAGTGATTTAAACAAATATTTCTGATTACAGAGACTTGGGAACTCACAGAAACTTGCGTGATCAAATGCAACTTCAGGGTAAAAACATGATGGCCGGCTGCCAGTGTTGTCAGCTACTGATTTATACTGAAAAACGTAATCAAAGAGAACAACAAACACCTATTGCCACAATTCTACAACTTTGTCCACCTGGCACAGCAGAAGTCTTGTAGGCTGTTCTGGTTGGTGACGCTTATCCTCGGTTTCTGATTACTCGCCCAATCGCTGTTCCTTACATAATGCACAAGTCTCCCCAATATATAATGTAGCAAGCTCGTGCCACCGCGGGTTCCTCGCCACAGATGAGTCAAGTCAGTGCTCAGTTAGCTCCTTTTATTTCGTTTTCCCACACACATATATATATATATACATACATATATATATAACTATCCTGCTGGGCTTGTCCGGGTTGCCTCCAGCTACTCGCTACCTGTACACCGTCAGACTCTCTCCATGCCACCAATCCCTGAGCCACCTGCCCAATCTCTCCCTCCTGCCACCGACACTAACCACCCCCACTATCACATATAATTATATATATTTATAAATATATATCAAGATCATTTGGCATGGTATGTTCAGATCAACCTCAAATCAGAAACACCTCCGCGATCGTCAGGAGGAGTTAATCTAACCCAAGGACAAGAATCCTCTTGTGAGTTCACAGCCTGCTCCTCTAAAAATGAACTTGACAATGAATACCTGTTGTGGTGTACTAAGCAATGTCATTCACATTCAGTTTTACACCTTCAAGTGAGATGTTTCATTTACATTTCAGAGTTAATTAAATGGAGCAGCAAAAAAAAAAAGAAGATTTAATTTCAAAGTCAGCACCAGTGTAATCTTCCTGGAAAACTTTACTCACTTTAAAAACAGTTTTTTTTAATAAAACACTAGTATTCCAAGAGATTTAAAACATGTAAAAATGAAGAATAAGCTTTATACTTCCTATACCACCAACATTACAAATCAATCAACAGCTCACAGTGCAGGGATCTGCGGCTTCTTTCTATATGTTCCAGTGATCTGAAGAGACAGAAGACCTCGAAAAAAAGAGAGATGCTACAGAGAGGATGCTTTTCAAGCATGTACAGAGGGATGTGGTGTATGAGGGAGGATGTGTGGGCTGTGAACAGGCTTTTACTTATTAAATCTATCACAGCTGGATGAAGTACTGCCTCCTATAGCTTGCGTGGCTATATAGCTGCTTTGATTTATTATGTTTATTTCCATTACCATGCAATCATGCATTTTCTTGTTCATCTTACACTTTTACTCAGCTGCGGTGTCATTTAATTTCTATTATTCAGCTCAGCCGTGTCTCTGTTTGTCATCTTGATTTGTTTTATTTCTTTACACCCTTTCAAATTGGATGCTTAAGAAAAAAATGTGCATGCACCTTGTTTAATGTGCATTTGTCTTCTTTCTGTTTTTCTATTATATAATCCCGCAAATATGTGCACACGGACAAAAATTCAAAAAAACGCCTGTTTGAAGTGTCATGAAACTTGCCCGTGTACCCAAGTCTGCCCTGATTATCCTCGACAGCCATCAAATGACCACCACTACACCCTGGAGACAGAAGCACAACCATATGTCTGCGTCTAGTTTGAGACACCACAGACAGAGAGAGCCAACTGCGTCACACTGAGTTCACCGGCGAGTGTGTCACATCCTGCGTTTGCATCCACGATGATTCAGATGAACATGTTTCAACCCACAATGTTCCTATAGAAATATATGTTCCTTTGACACAACAGTGGGGTGAAGCACTGTCGCCTCACAGAAGAAGGGTCCCTTGTTCGAATCCTTTTTTGGGTGGATGTTGCATATCATCTCTGCAAGGGTTTTCTTTAGGTACTCTTGTTTCCTCCCACAGTCCAAAGACATGCAGGTTAGGTTAATGTGAATGTGATCATGGATGGTTGTTTGTCTCAATATATGGTGACACTGACATCACTAACTAATTGTCATTATTTGTTTATTTGACAGGGACATTGCTCATTAATCAACAGCAAAATTACTGTAAATGAGCCCGAACTAGCTCAACGGGCTAATTGCATCTGTTGTCCCTGGCTAGTTTTTAAAATGGCAGCATAAAATTAAAATAAAATCACACAGACAAGCAACATATACAGACTAATATTCAGAAAGGTACATGCATAACAATAAGTGACAACACAACAAAGCACAGCAAGTAAAAACCAACAAAGACAAACAGCAGGCGGGCAGCAAATCAAGATGAGCAGTAAAATAACGATAAGAACTTCTCATATCTGCATTGGCAATAGATTCCAAAAGAAGATGATTGTGTGCCGTATTACAGAATCATTAATTCAAATTTTAAGTAAATTCAATTTCCATCCTGTTTAAATATTTTTTCAAGCCTTCCCTCATTTGCTAAATTAACCAGATATGATGGTTCAGAGTGACATAGATATGACAGGTCATGGACCATCTACAGCAGTAAAATCATTTTAAAAGGGTCGAGGTTTGGGATTAGCTCAACAGGCTACATGAATTTATGATTATAGTGCATTTACATCTGTCAAATTGATTAGGGCCATTTTCCATGAACTTACATGGTCCGCAACGAGAAGACCCACATCGTCAAATGGCAACTATTTCTGTTATAAAGTTTAGTAGCACTAGGAATGTCGAGAGGTAACACTGATGTTACCTAAATTTAAGCCTTCACGTTAACAGCTAAAGGATGAGCTGGTGTTTCAGCAGCTGCTACACACAGGCACAGTAACTGTGGTTCTTTATAGGAATGGTGCCCTGTGTGAGACCTTTAGTTCAGATTATTCTCTTATTTTTAGAATTAACATAGAGTGGTGTTAGTCCCGTCTGTGCCCGCCACCCCCACCAAATCTTGTCAGTGTCAAATACTCATGCCCTGGTAGACTGAAAACAATCTGAAAGTCTGAAAGTCTGATCCTTCGCATATCCAAAATGTCTCACGTCGTTACGAAACCAATGACTGCAACCTTGCAGCTGATCTCATTTGCATATCAGACTTGGCAAATTATGTAAAGTATGTGGACTAAGCAAATGCCTGACTTGAGGCAGTTCTTGGTACCATCCTCTAAAAACGTCTACTTTTAATAAATCAAATGTCAAGTGCAGACCTTTTTTTTTCTTCTGCGCAAATGGAGCAACACAGTGACACAGCGAAGAAAGTTGTGCAGAGAACTTATAAAGTTGGTGGGCCAGCTTTACAGAGGTAATAAGGAAAAGTTTGAGGGGAATTTTCAGAGCTTGAATTTGGTTGTAGGGTTTGACCTTTTTCACAGTGTTTTGAAGAATTACACTGAAATGAGTAAACATAAGGAATAAACACAAGACTTGACACAGTGTGCATGCATATTTAGATACAAGACATTAATGTTCTACTGTACTGACTACATTATTTATGTGGACAATTCTAACTACTTTATTTCAGTATAGCATAAATGTCTTATCGAAGCTGGACACAGTTGCTGACTGGTATACAGACAAAGTGGCAAAACCCTTTTGGAGGCTCTTTTTGGGAAATTGAAAACTAGAAATTGGCAGATTCAGTTCTTTTCACAAAATCTCTTCTATTACAACTTTCTGCACATTATTTAGGACAGCGCTTGGGTTTTATACATGTACAAAACCCCTCATTTTCTTCTGTATATTATTGCAGGGGGGGCAAGGGTCCAATTCTGCAACACTCTCATACTTGTGTGCAGCCCCCACCTCTGCTGCCCTTGCCCTTTTTGTCACGCCTGGTTTGTCGGCAGACATTTAGAGGCTTGTATTCCAGCCTTTAGGCAGAGCCATCACTGTCTGTACAAAACGAACAACGTCAGTGCACAACATTAGTTTCCTGTTCTATTGCTATTTTACTTTGCTTTACATTAAACATTTTCATATTGTTGGATAGTGTTTATGATGTGATGTCCTTTTTACTGTCAATCATCAGACACACTGGGGAATAAATGTTTGCCTCTGTCAAGAAAAGTACCTTAAAAGTATTTTAGTTCAAGATACTGTTTATTAATGTTATTATATATAATTCATTTCATTACGAGGGAGCATTTAATATTTTGGTGAATTGCAACTGATTAATTATTACTATTGGAATTCAACAGCAATTGCCCCATATAAATCAAGAGACAGAACTGGGTTGGAAACCATAATGTTTGGACTTTAAATAGCAAACCAATACAGACTGTATTTTGAGCATAAAAGGGACCGAAGAAATGTAAACTAGATAATAGGCAATTTGTGATTTATTTTTTGTTCTACATCGAGTTATAAATAGGCCTGTCTATCAACTGACACAATGAAAAATTGCCCTGAGAAAAGCTGCAGTGTCAGTCAGAGCCAATGTTCCCATTATATTGTTGTTTCTGAAATTCAAGAAGGAAATCAAAGTTGCGTTCTTACCAGGCGTCGTCTTTCTTCTTCAACAGTGTTCAGCAGCTGCGAGAACTCTTTGAATGACTGTGCTGCAACACAAAGATGGATAATTTCTATAACACCATGAGAAAGACACATGACTGAATGTCTGGTAAACAACTGCACCGACATGTATGATGCCTTGTGCCATGCTGCTGTAACATCCAGATGATAAAAAAAGATATTTCTAAAAAAAACACAGTGGCTCCGTCGTTAAACATCAGATGTTCCCAGGTCCCCACAAGCAGTAGCATGGTGCTTAAATGTTTATTTGCGCTGCAGCTTCGGAGCTTTCAGTGCAGCACATTTTAGCAGCTAATAAAATCATGCAGATGTCCAATTTAAAACCAAGACTAGCAGTAAAAAACAATACTTTAATTGAATGGAACCCACTGATTACTTCCCTTTATTTTCTTCCCCTGCTAGGCTTTACAATATATTGTCACAACGTAGGGAAGACTGATGCAGTAGAAACACGCTTGTGCCATCTGGGCTATACTCTGATAGCTTATATTGCACTCTGCAGCGCCAGATGAATTCAGCATACAATACATCCAACCTTATCAGCCACAGAATTGAGCCTGATAGCTTCACAGCTTCATTAAATAGAGGGCCAGATACAGTGTGGCCTCTGTTGGTCAGCCCCCTGTATCTTCCCGTGTCCAGCCATTTAGCAGCGGTCGAGCTGCCCTGCTTGCCAACACAGTAACATCATTATCGGCTGTGACGGCCTGGCATGGGGACCCATGCATCATCTTAGACACTTTGTCCCATTTACACACCAAAGCTTTTAAAGACCAGGGAGCAATGATTTTGTGCCAGTGATCCTGCAGGCAGGCTGGCCTCCTATTAACGCCGCCAGCCCCTTTATCAACAGCACAAACCTCTCAGGGGGTAAAGGGCACAGCTGGAGCCGTTGATGGGACAAGATTAGGCTCCAAAGAAAGGAAATGGGAGTCAAAGTGAGGTTACAGCTTGCATATCATTCACTGGTAAATAGAGAAGAGGCAATAGACCTGATGAATCTCTAAATTAAATAAAAAATACTGCCTCAAAAGTGGACAAATAAGATGATAAGATAAGCTTATATGAAAATATAGAAGATTATTCATTTACCAACATTTTATGAGATTAAATATTGCCGTTCTGCTTGCTATTTATTTATTTTCAAGCTCTTTGAGATTTGAGCTCATATGAAAACGCTCTGAACACTTCTAGGAGATTCCTGGATTGACCTTCTGTGAGAAGGGCATGAAACTTTTCTAGAAATTTAAATTTCTATAGCCACATCAATCTTTGGCCCCATTGATTCCTAGATAACTGGCGTGAAATGTGAATGTCACTGCAAGAAGTCATAGAGTGAAATCAATAAAAGGTCAGGTGAACCTGTCTGGCAGCACATACAGGATCCCGAAGTAATGTGGAGGAAGTTGGGAGCATCAAAGTGAACTATAGCAATACCGCATCAAGATCATGGCTGGCATTCACACAGGGGTCTCGCGATGTCAGTCAGAAAGCTCAGTTTCATTGATGACTAGATTGATTTCAACAGGCTGTTTCATTTTTTTTCTTCTGACAGCAATCACGGTATTTTCTCTTGGAGATGGCGAGGAGAGGGAGCGCAGGGCAGCACAGAGTGTAAGGAAATCATTTCCAGTTAAGATGATACTGAAACTCTTCTTACACAGAAAATAATGCAGTCGGTCAAGTGCTATTAGGTGTAATTTTTTTTTTTAATTTCATTATCTGTGCAAATGTTGCATCCACTTATTCTTGAGCCTCCCAAGTTAAATGAGCACTGACAAATTGTTTCCAACCCACACCACTTGTTTCTGTTGCGTCATTGATTCTCAGTGAAAACGCTGTGTAGGTCCAGTAATATAACAGGTGGGGAGCTAAAATAGTTCGATCTGACATCAACGCCACCCTGATAGAACGCCAGGAAATGAGTGTATAGCCTCAAATGAAAGCACATTTGATTCCAATGAGGCTTGGATTTGGGTGTGGATTTTTCCAGTAAGCATAATGGGTCTCCTGCACCCGAACCATCATACAGCCATTGAAGCTTTATCAGAGAGAAAGCAGAAAAGAGGACTGTTCATTACGCATTCAGATGAACATTACAGCCTCATATTGAGGAGGTCGATATCAAGTCTAGCCCACACAGATGGACAGTAATTCTGCAGTCTCCAGTTCTGCAGAGCAAAGGACTCAAGCTGGGGATAATGAGCAGTGTAAAAAAAAGGAGAGAAAGGATGAAGAGGCCAGACTGGGAGTCCTGCCCATTAGAGGCAGAGAGACCCTCTGCACAGCTGCTTCCATATTCCTATTGGAGGCTTGGAGGTTCGCACCTCCATTAATCTCTGACACTGATCACAATTAGTCCCTTTGATTTCATATAGGCTCGAAAAGATACAGGGGAAGCATCATAAGCAAATCGATAGCATTAATTATACATGTATCTCAGACAACTTTCAGATCCATACTCAAAGCCAAATCCAATTCCAGCACCTCCCCCTGACTCTAATGAAGCTGTTCCCTTCTATATTAACAACCTTCTCTAATGTAAAATTACTTTAATATAATATTTTATTTATTTTGAGCCACAGGACATTATCTCTTCTGATCCATTTAAGAAAGTCTGTGTATCTCCTAGGACAAATCAGAGAGGGAATAATATTGAATACTGGGTAGAGATCCTGTCTTGAGTCTTGTCAAACTGAACTTACCAATGTTCACCTCATCATCTGTCTCTGCATCACCAATGCACTCAAACTGGAACTCCTGCAGGGACTGGGAGAACTTCTGGACGGCAGCAGAAAGATCTGAAATCAGAGGGACTGAGCATTAGAATAAAGCATTGCACAAACAAATCACACATATTCAGACATATTCTACAAATGTACTAGTCGACAACTGACTTAATGTAACCTCCTTTCTCTACATATATGCTACAGAACTACTTCCTGTAAGTCACATGAAGACTGACTCAGACGTCTCATGGTAATAACAGCGTGTCAGGGGAGCCTTAGCATCACAAAACCCCTTCTCAGTTATTGATGAGTTTGCAGCAAGATAATTAGAAAGATCCCATCAGCTATCGATGGCTGATTGGGGCTGAAATCTTGTCCAGCATACATGTAGAGTTTGATATTGATCGTTCTTCCTTATGTTGAGCCAGTGATACTTCCCGGACCCCATCTTAAACCTGGCACAAAGCGGTGTCAATACAACACAAGCATCTTCGCTAGTTTCAAACTGATGCAGCTGTGATTTTCCGATCCAGCACTTACATTGTTTAAATAGTAAATGCACTCCCTTCCATCTGAGCACCCTTGAATGTGGTCAGGTGGATCATTGTTAATGTGCTACCTTGAGGAAGCAGAAAGCGATTGACCAACAAAAACTTGGTCTGGAGTCAATGGTGCAGTATTTTGTGGTCCAATTATGCACTGTCAAGATGGTAAAATGCACATTTTACGTAGGTGAGTGCACAATGCATTTACATTCTGTCACACACACTTGGTCACTTTGTGCAGGAGCAGACCTGTTGGCTTTTTAAAGGGGATGGGAGACTGCACTCTGATTGGTTTATTCCTCATGATTCATTAAGAAACTAAATGTAGCACATTTTTTAACCTTGTTGACTCGTGCTGTGACCTCATTTCTGGAGTTAAAATAGCAAAAGTAGATTTACACAGGAGCTAAGTGCACTTGGTTCATGCCAATAGGCTGTTAAAATAGAGCCCTTAGTATCTTTATACATAGAGGCCCTGCAGTTAAGTTTACCATTTGTTATAGTTGCAACTACAACAAAACAGTGGAACTTAAAAAGACTATTGTTGGACAGTTTCTAGGGAGCCAAAGGAGCAAAAGAATGCACTTTTATGATCTGCTGACTGTCCAATTCCAAGCCCACTGACATTTATACAATAGCAGGTCTATGACTGACTGCAATATCTGAAATATTTACTTCATCACTTGTCCATTAATCATAATACTCAAATCTGTCCAGAAGAATTAAGCCCAGCTGAGCTGCCTAACCTTTGTGTCAGAAGTGATAAAGTACACAGTGAGGGAAAATCCACATCTGGACACTCCCATACTGAAAGATATAAATTTGTGCTGTTTACTGCATTCCAGGATGTAAGAAAGTGCTGTCCTAATATTTCCAGTGACATTTGACAACCTCCAGAGAAAAGGCTTAAGCTTTTCTATTCCATAAATTTCCAGCTGAGAAAGTGCATCCTGCCTTTTATTAAAATATTCAGTGGAAAAGATTATATCTCTGCACTTTCAAAAGTGTTTTCCTTGCTGTAAATTTACTTTTGACGTCTCTATTTTAATAAAATAAAAGAACTCTGAAGAGCAGCATTCTTCTTCTTCAAAAGAAATCCCCCAAATTTAGCGTTTTGTTGGTAGTGAGCTGCTGTCTAACGTTGTAGACAGATATCCGGACCAAGACTCTTCAGTTCGCTGTACATCATTTACTGACAAAATTATTTCGTCACACAAGTCGTCTACCTGCGGGCAACCAAAGCCTGCTCAAACATGATTGGAGAAGCTAGAAATGATCCCAACCTCAAAAAACCTTACCCCTCGCCTTCAGATTCACTTTCTAACACGTTGGTCTAAATCTTCCATGGGGGGTTGAATTGGGTCAAGCTCTGGTGACCGCAAAGGCCACAGCATGTGATTCACATCATTTTCATACTCATCAAACCCTCCAGTGATCCCCCGTGCCATAGGGATCGGGGCACTGACATTGTGGAATGGACAGGACAGACATATTTCACTGTAGGATAAGGGTGATCACTCAGAACAACACTTTTTATTGATTTGCTGTGACCTCTTGCTCTAAAGGGGACAAGTGGACTAACTCCACGCCAGTAAAAATGCCCCAGACAGCATAACAGAGCCAGCAGATCCTCTCACTTCAGGGGTCAAGCACTCAGGTCTGTATTAACTCTTGGTGTAAACTACATATTACTATGGAAGCTTTTGTACTTGGCCTCAACCCCAGAAACACTTCATCTAATGATATAGTGAGTCTAGATGGTATTGCCCAGGCCGCAGCACCATCGTGAGGAGTTATCATTGACCAGGTAAAAGGCAGTCCTTCACATCCTGTTTCAAAAAGATGCAGAAACACAAGGTAATGCATTTGATACTTGTAGACGGGACCATTGCAATTCCAAAACTGCTCTCACCAGAGGATCCAAAACGTTGCAGAGTGGATGCTGACAGAAAAAGAAATCACATATCTCCACTTCTCTGCCTTGACTCCCACTGAAATATATAATGTCATTTTAACTCCTAAAGCCCTGACTGATGGTGTAACATTATATCTTTAGTATTAATAATAATCTTTAATTCTGAAGCACCTTTCATACGTGACGAACAAGAATCAAGTATTTACAGATGACATGTAGGGTGATACTATGAACAAATGAGCAAACAAACAAAATTAATAAGAAATTAAAGAGCACACAACTGTGAAAGGTAAGTGTATCAAATAAAAACAACTTGCAATTAACAAAGAAATACAATCATTTAAAAGCAAGATAATAAAAGTAGTTCTTCAGCTTTGCTTGTATAATTTGTGGTGGAAGCACATTCCAAATATTTCATGGATAAAAACAGAATTTTACAGTTTGGTTTTGGAGTCTGAGCCAACCAACCTAAAGAAATAAAGATGTGGAACAACTCTTAACCTTTTATACAAGTACAATTATTTCCCAAATCTAAGCAGCTCAGACAGCTTCTGAAATGATGACCTCATTTCTTGGTTCTTGTTAAAACCCTGGCTGCTATCACCTTAGCACCCTGCACACTCCTAGAACACCACTCCTTGTGGTTCCTGACGGCCATTGGGAGAGAGATGCCGTCAGCTTTCCGGCTTCGAACCATCTTCCAGTTTGGGTCCGGGAGGAAGATCATCCTCTACATTTTAAAGGTTTCAAACTTTTCTCCTCTCCAACTGTTTTGTGCTTAATCGTCTCTCTCCTGTTGCTGCAGTCTCGATCTGTGTTTGCAAGCCCCCTAATGCTTCTACAATCTAACTGCAATTATTATTAGTCTTCCAATCATTATTACTATTAGTATATCATCTCCATGGGGAACCTGATTGTACGCTATTCTCTTTCCTACCGCTCCCTGCTTTTCTCTCTCCCACCCTCAGCTCGACTGTTCTACCAGTTTCTTCCACTTGTCCCCAAATGCTTACACATGGGGGAAAGTTGGGTCTCTGTAAATAATATCGCCAAGAGCACAATCTAGACCTGCAGTAATTATTGTATTTTCACCACTGAACTCTCAAACGTGCATTTATATTCGTGATGAGGGGCTTTATGTACCGCAGCCCTGCTACAATATCTCTCTCTATGTAATTGTAAATGACTTGTTCTTGCTGACACAGTCTGATTACGTCTCGCATCGACTTTTACCGTCCCACGGGGGAAAAATTGTGCTTAGGTTTTTCACGAGCGTCACGGTCATCAAGCGTGCGCTGTTGACCACAATAGACGACCCTGTTTACAAATGTCTTTATCTAAATGCACATGTAACATAAGTCACTATTATTATTGAAACACCAGCCAGATGAGCAGTCTTAGCATCTGCTACCTGTGCCCAGACAATGAACCCTCTGAGATATAAGGTCTTTTCCTCTTCATAGAAAATGAGATTGAACTGAGCCCGTAGTTTTATACTTGTCCATGCCACAGCATGATTGGATGTTAACATCTCAATCATATAGCATACAGCGCAGCTCTGTAAAAGAATCTACATTTGTTTCATTCCTTTAGTTTTACCTTTTTTGATGACACTACCCATGATGCCAGTCATTGCAGCGTAGAAGAAGCTGGCTCAAGGTGTAAATCATTTGAAGTATTTTTAACGAGTTCCAATGCAGCAATCAGGAATGAATACTAGCTGCTGTATTGATCCAAACATGATTAAAAATCAGAAAGAATCGACTGAGCTGTTGAACGTATTTAACACGTTCTACGTGGCTCGATATCTGCTCTTATCCTGCTGTTGGAGCCACGGCCAGCCGAGCTGTGAGCTCCGTGTCTGAGCAGCAGAGAAAAATCTGTAGCAGGGAGGGGTATCTCACTTCTCCTGTGATGTTGTGCACACATGCTTCTACCAACTTATCTGCAACGAGCCAGAATTAGCCGAGAGCATATGCTCATTGTTTGCAGTGATGAGTCAACCGCAGTGTTGCATGCCCATTCAAGAATCTAATAGGGTCTGTGGAAAAAAAAGAGTTTTCATTTCCTGAATCTTTTCTCATCTAAAGCCTCTCACTTTTTCTAGTCTCCAAGAAAAACATTAAAAAAAACAAAATGTGCCCTTGTCAGATATCTTGACTTGGACCTGGAGGTTAGAAATCGGTCGGTTAAATGTTTCAAGTTTAATATTGTGCTGCCACTTAATTTTATATGAAATAATGTCTTTTTTTTCTAAATGCCTCTGTGTGAGCATTTTTCAAAAGTTTATGTGGAGTATTTAAAAAGCTCAAATTCCCTAATTAGGCAACACCAACACACAACTGCTGAGCTGCTCAAAAAACAGATTTTAAGGGCTCAGACATTTTTTATTCTGACACAACAGAATGTAAAAGCTCAAAAAAAATCACTAGCCCCAACCCCTGTAGCTTTTTTGAGGCAGGCATTAAAAGGCAGATTCCCCTTTTAAATTATTGAATGCATTCATATAATGGCCCATATTAAAGTATGCTGCGGAAAATAAGCTCCAAATACAAGACAAGACAAAAATAAACCTCACTTAACAATACTTCCATCTGCATCAAATCGTTAACATGAAGAATCAATGAAAACATAGAGCAACTATAAAAGCAGAGTATATGCAAGCAGTATCCATCAATGTGTTTTATTCCACAAGTGGAAAAAGGATCGGATTCACAAGAAAACATTTTGGGAGCAAAACTAATGAAGCTGAATATTAAGTCGAAGGGTAAAATAGCTGCGGTGCTGACCTGCGTATCTGACCCACTGCATGAATCACTTGTAATTTTTTTTTTTTTTTAAAGATATAATTGATTTACATTTGTTTCATAACTCAGTTACATAAAGAATAGTAAGTGGGTCTGTCACATTGTTTACAAGCATATTTAAAGAGTGGGATGAAGCTTCAACACGTAGTGGAGGATTTAAAGGTTCAGTGTATAGAATTTAGTGACATCTAGAGGTGAAGTGTCATGTTGCAGCTGAATACTCCTCATTTCACCCTCCCCTTCCAAACATGAAAGAGAAACTGTGGTCAACTTCAGTTTCATGAAAACTCAAAAGGTTTTAGTTTGTCCAGTTTGTAATACAATAAAAAACATGGCAGCCTCCACAGAGAGGACGCCCCCTCCATGTAAATATAAAGTATTTAAATATAAAGGCCAATTCTATTGTAAAGAAAACAACAATCCATACAATCTAGATGACACACACTAGTGAAAACATCACTGGGATTATTTCATATTCAATTTCTGACAAAAAGTCCTTTAACCTAAATCTTACAAACTGGACCTTTAAGATTCATACGATTTTTATAATTAAAGGCAAAATAAGATCTAGATTCTAGAAAACACACATTTATACACATTTTCCTTCATATCCTTTGTTAAATGGCCGTTTATCTCTTCACATCAACAGTCATTTCTGTTCTTAAAACAAATGAGACTCCTCAAAAGTATGAATATGCAAAGTAATGCAGTTTTTTCATTTAAAGGTATGTGAGGTTTGTTCTGCAGAGAACACAAATGTCAGTTGCTCCAGACACTCCCCAGAGTAAAATGTATGAAAAGTATCCAAGTTGGAACACAACAGGTAGAAGTGAGAAAGAAAAACTAGGAAAAATGTCCACACCCCATTTTCTGGATATTCTCCAGAGTTCTTGTCTGAAAACCATAACCCCATTTCCTAGAGCAACAATAGAATGTACGTATGTGACACAGAGGAAAGCAATAGTGCATGAGTATCACAGTTAGAGCTAAATAATCAATAGAAATGTGATTAAAATCACAAACGCAATATCGAAATCACAGGAGCTGAGATTTGATGTCTCACAATACATCAAATGAAGCCCTGTGGGGCTGTAGAGATGTCTGGCAACACAATATTATCCAGATGTAAGGAAATGTGCTTGTAGGATGCAGGCACCATCTAAAAATAAAAATCATATCATCATTTTTGTAAATGTTTTATTTTCAAATAGAGTTAGATTTATGTGACTAGTCTCTAATGTATTTTCTGTCAGAATAGGATTTATTTTGAATATAATTCAGCCCAATAACTTTTATAATAATGATTAGAACTGGAGTGTCAACACGTGTCAAATCTTTCCTACCGTTTGCTATATCTTGTCGGTTTGAGGTTTATCTTCCAGAGTAATAACGAATACTGATTTCAAACCTCCTTCTTCAACAACAGTTTATCTAACAGGCCTCCCAAGGTACAAAATGGCCTTAAAAGCTCAAAGAAATCAATGCTCACATCTCTGAAGGCACATAAACAGCCAGATTTAAAAAAAAGACTTTCATTCGTCAGTGAGCATCTTTTTCTTTACCCGGCAGTCAGCCTTATGATATCGTATTTAAGTGCATTTTAGTTATTGGGGGAGCAGAATAAGAAGACTGAAGATTGTAAAGCTCTTACACACCTTACACAATATCTCAGACGAGTGTTTGGGACAACATGTGCATGTCGCTGCCCCCGAGTGCCACTGAGTGGACCTGTTCAGAAGATGTATTGTGCCAGTGATGTGCTCATATCATTCCTGACTCTAACGCTGCTGATTTGAGATCAATACCTAGCTGGACTTGTCTGGAGATGCTCGCAGGACCATCAATAATGGATGATCTTTCGGCTCTGACATTCAGACAGGCCCCAACCTCAAAAATACAACAATGTTCTGCCAACAACTGAAAAAATAGAAGAAAAAAACGAGTCCACATGATAACAACTACATGATTCTGCTTTAAGTAAGAGCATCCAGTGTAATGTGTCCATAGCACAAAAATTATCTAAATCTATTTATTATGAAGTTAAAATGACAAATATATGGTAGTGTACAAGATTTAGATTACTACTTTGTGGTAGTTAGCTAAAACACATATTTCGCCAATGCTGTGGTAAGACAACCTTTAGAAGTATGAAAATATAATATAGAAAAACAAATGTTATCATATTCACAAAATGTACATACATTTAAAAATGTCAGAGGTATATGGATCAGTTTCTCTCTTATCAGATTTAAAAAGGTGTCTTGATACGTCTACCTCAGAAAAACCTGCTGTGAGGCATTTAAAAACATAAACAGCCACATCTCTCAAAATGTCCTTTTCAGACATTTTACCTTATAACATTCTCGGATGCCACAACCACAGGGGTCGGCACATGAATACAACACTTTCAAGCAATACATGCAAAGTATTTACTTGCTAATTTAGAAAAATAATCATTATTTTCAGCATGTTTTGTAATTAGTATTTCATGGCTACAGTTCCCATTAGGCTTTAACAGCAATCGTGTGTCAAGGGCCCGTGGGAGATGTGGTCGACACAGCTGCTGGAGCAGAAGGTCGCTCAAAAGTGGGACAGCTTTGATTCTCTGCTCCTGAGTCAAATACTACACTACCCACAAGCTTTGAGTAGTGACTCACTCACCTCACATGGAGACTGATGGTTAGCAGCTAATGTCCTCTAACCATAAGTGAACTCACTGTTCTTTCTCTGTAGCTGCATCCTCTCATTTGTCTGTCTGTCTGTCTGTCTGTCTGTCTGTCAGCTGAATAAAGGGGCAGCTTTTCACTTTCTTCATTCGGCCGTTGGTGATATCAGCACCCTTCCAATGTTTATCATGATTTCCACACCAACGAAGTCGTGAACAATCTCATGATGATTGATTGCATGGAACTAATGTTAAAAAACAAATGTATGTATATTTTCTTACAAGTATATATACAGTCATAACCCAACAGACATGAATATGAATGTATTTTTGCATCTTGACTAAATGAATGTTAGTGTCCATGTACAATGTCGGTTTCAGTCATTACAAACACTTGCAGAGTGAAAGGTTTGCAGACATGTTGAGGCTCATTACTACCATCCTGCTGTGTCTACACCTGAAGATATGCATGAATAAATATTTTAATCAGGGCAACGCTCAAAAAAGACCTGCAACAACAATTCAGTTTATTTCCTATTTATATGCATTATTTACAGAGTGACTTTGACCCATTAGTGGGATGCACAGAGAATATTCTGCCTCACTTTAAGTGATTTCAGGGCCGAGCAGCAAAGATAAATGGCAAGAGAATCAGTGAAAAAGTAAGATAAATGAACGGATACGTTTTTTAACCTGAGGTAAGCAGTAAGGGCAGAAGCAGCACAACACATTCCGCGCTGTACATTTGGAAGTTTTCGTGGAAACACTGCAGACAAAGACCCTCAGCTGTGAGGCCGTTTATCAGCTTCAGTCACTCTCTTCTCTTGGTCAACTTCCAAACCTGAAATTTTAATAAGGCCGATTGTTCAGAGCTTTGCCTGTGATGCAGTTTGCTTGCCCACGTTGTGCACATCAGATTATAGTCTAATAAACAGCAGAGTGAACATATAAGTTTCGAAAAGGAAATCTATTATTGTGTACAAACATTGCGCCTGAATACCCTACACAGTACGTAGTGACATTTACGTGGGCTGCTCCGGTTTTAATGTTTACGATGCTCTGCACAGACTTGTCATGTCGCAGCTACTTTACAATGATCAGAGTCAACAACACTTCACAAAGTCTGATGCAACGCAGACGTACGACAGCAGGCCGGGTTCG